AACCCTCCCCACTGCGAAGCAGGCAAATATTATTTTCTCTATTTTAGAGATAAGGAAACTAAGGGTTATCTGACTTGACTACACTACAGAAGGTTAGGATTAGAATGTAAAGGGCCTTACATATAGTACCATATTTAGTGAAATAGGCCATGCTGATTGTGGCATTATTCAACTACCCCATTTTGCAGCTACTGTCCCCACAACTGTGAATGAACTTATGGTCTTCTCAAAAAATGAGGGGTATGTGGCCACAGTTTTTATAGACCCTAAGGCCAGCTCTGAAAACCCATAGTGGGGACTGAATAACCCAGGATGTTTCTGAAAAATAAGTAAAAAACCCTAATGATCTGTTTACATAGCACCACATATTCAAGATTATATTTCAAAAGAAAATGGACTTGAAAATTTACTTGGTTTTAAACATGAAATCTGAAACTAACCCTGGCATTTGTAAGTCCCTGTTGGAGCTGGGAGTGTCTGATAACTAAAAGCTTCCTGGGTCCCAAAGGCTGGTTCTGTTTGAACTCCTTCAAACCCAGCATTTAATTTTGACTCAAATATTTCCTTATAAATTTTTCAGATTTATCTTTGCAATTTGCTCTTCTTGACTGCAATTGATACTTTACACTTATATAGCAATTGCCTCCTATTTACAAATGTGAATTAGTGTAAAGTGATTTACAAATATGAATTAATTAGGCCTCATAATACACTTGATAGGGATAATACCTATCTCACAGATGGGGAAACCAAGGCACAGATGTGTTAAATGACTAGTCCTTTCTATGCTAGTGTCTTAGCATAGTGTCTTCTTATGTGTACATGACAGTATTTTGCAAAGTGCTGTTTTGTGAATGATTTCTCTATTACTTATGTCTGGAGTGAAAGAAAAATGTTCGAAAAGAGAACCACAGTAGGAAAAGTTGCACAGATATGGAAATTTTGAAACAAGTTATTTTATGTAACCCATTTAAAAGATATCATGTGTTTATCACATTTTATATCTGTAGAGTGGCAGGAATGATACTGATCATTCTCTACCTTGCAACATATCTGGATCTCTTTAAAAAACCAAAACAAAATCAAAACCCCACCACCACCACCATTTTGGACATGTGAGTTCTTAAGGAACATCAGCGAATATATCAATAGTTTCTCATTCTTAAGTCATTTAACAGAATATTGAAAAAATAGGTAATAAATCTCAGTTACCATCTGAATATGATTAAAGTTGAAGATTTTTAGAATCATAAATAGAGACAAATGCATCTTTCATCATCAAACTAGTTATTTCCACTATTTACATAACATCATTTGATGGTCTTGCTAGAATCTCTCTCTCTCACACACACACACCACAACAGGTTACCATGACAACTTATATTCGAATTTCTATAAATTTCTATTTTTAGAGATCACAGTTTAGAAATCACAAATCATAAATATTAAGTGCTATCCTGTTAATCAAAATAAAGAAAATGCCAGTTTTCTTCTTTGTCATATTTCAGAAAATTGAAATCACTCAAATTAAATAGGACAATAATCCTAAAAAATACTAGCGATTATGAACATTTAACACTAAGTGTCTCTATAATCTGAGATAAATGGTTCATGAGTCAATAAAAAGACTACAATGCAAGGTATGAAATCCTGGCCCCACTGAAGTCAATGGGAGTTTTGCAGCTGTGGAGCCAAGATTGCACCCAAAATGTTTATAGATTTTACACATCATTTATTTGAGTTTACACAAACTATTATTGCATTTATCAGAAGCAACAGAAAGCTATCTTTGTTTCTGGAAAGACAGCATCTAAATTGGCAATAGCATTTCAGTTCCACAATAAGGTTGCCATCACTTAGAGTCTTACACTATGTCTACGTTGCCAAAAAAAAAAAAAAAAAACCCAACGCAGTCAGTCAGTCTCTGAGCCCAGATCAACTGACTCAGGCTCATCGGACTCACATTATGGGGGCTAAAAGTAGCAGGGCAGATGATCCTGCTTGGACTCTGATACCTTCTCCCCTCACTGAGTTTCAAAGCCCAGGCTCCAGCCCAAGTGGGAACCTCTACATTACTATTTTTAGCCCATAGCATTAGCCCTGTGAACAATAGCCTTAATTCACCCAGGCTCTGAGACTCACTGCCACGAGTGTTGTGGGTTTTGTTGATGTTTTGTTTTCAATCTTGACCTAGAGAATCATAATTTAAGACCAGAAGGAACCAATAGATCATCTTGTCTGACCTCCTGTATGTCACAGGCCATCAATGCCACTCAGCACCCACATACTAAACCCAACAACAGAAATGAGATCAAAATATTACAGCCCACAGGAGACTAGGCTATTACGAACCACAGGCAGAGAATATACAGGGCCGAGGTGTACCAGTGCCTGAGTTGCCCAAAGTGGCAGCGGGATGGTTAAGTGAAAGTGTTCATTAGGTGTTCACTAGCACTTAGACACAAAATTATTTTCTTCTCTGAAAGCCACTAGCAATTCACAAAGTGACCTTCTTAGCAGAAAGGTTACCATAAACAGTTGCAGCCTTGAATGTAGTTATAGCTCTAGCTATGGGCTTATTCACTTCAGTATTAAGCAGCCAGTCAGAAATCAAATTCAAAACTAGTTCTTAAATCTACAGAGAAGTAAATGCAGTCTCTCCTATAACATTAATATGAGCAGATTACAATGTTATGTTACAATATAAATGCACAGTTCATTTTTAAGACTCAACAAATCCACTAATATCAACCAAACAACTAATGATAAAGTGTTCTGGTCCATAGCATTGAAAGATAGGATTGAGGAATGCAAGCGAATCAAAAATATGTGAAGGAACCTTTGTACTATGGCTCAATTATAGCCAGCATTTGCCTTTCCACGTTTCTCTTGGCGTCTTCCATTTAACCTTTACTCCATATTTGTCAGCTCTCTGGCAAAGAATGTTGGAAAGTCTCCAAAAAAAACAAACAACCCCACTACAGATTCAATACATAGTTAAAAGGAAAATGTAGGTAATGAATATTCTGAAGATGTTTTCTAATGGCATTTTGATGAAGACGGGTATTAGTCTGACATCTAGAACACATTCTACTTTTAAAATAATATTGCTGAAATGTTATAAATGTGTGTGGGTATGTCCCATTAGTAAGCAACCATAGGAATTTATTCCATTATCATTAATCCTCTATTATATTGTATTTCAGTATTATCTGAAGCCAGTGGCACAGGAAAAGTGAACTGCTACACAAGCTTTGATTCCTTGGAGAATGCTACCAATCAGCGAAGAATAGGAGTGGCTGGGGAGCCTCAGAGCAGCTGGGAGAAATGCACCTCCTGCCTGGCTAGTTTCTCCTCTCACTAAAGACCCAATCCTACCCGCATTTGAGTCAGTAGGCATTAACCCATTAACTTCATTAATGGGAGCTGGATCAGGCCCTAAAATATGATTCAGCAACATACTTAACTACATGCTTAATTTTACAAAGATGAGTAATCCTATTGAAGTCAATGGGACTACTCCCACAGTTAAGTTAAACATAGTTGTAAGTATTTGCAGAATGAGGCCCAAGTTTGAACCCTTCAGAAGAAATCCTGATAAGTGTTTTGCAAAACACTTATTCCACTTGCATAAAACAAAACCACTTGTATTTATAACAAACGCAAAAGGAAGAAATTGTTTGGGGGAGGTTGTTGTGGAAGGGGGGGTTAAAAAGTTTAAACCTGGAAAAGCCTCCATTTCTTTTTCTTCAAAAACTGCACCTGATTTCCTTACCAGAAGGAACTCCAGAGGCTTAATTAGGCTCTAAGCCACAGGTCAGAGAGTGAATCCGCATGGTGATTGAATAAGAAACAAAAATATGAGACTAAAATCAGGGTCTCACTTAAAAACAGAAAATAATCTGTGGCAAAATCCTAACCGCCAATCTAAATCAAGATAACTTAGTAAAATCACTTACTGCCTCAGAATTGTGTCCTGGATCACAGAATAAATAAGGGTCACCCTCAGAAATCAAGGACTAATCCAAAGACTAGAGTGAATCAGGATCCCCCTCTGTCACACACATGTTAAACTATGATCACCCTCAGATCCAGACACCAAAGTAAGGAGAGAACTAAGGACACCCTCACAAATCACAGGGAGCAAGTCACCCTCACTTCCCTATTAACACAGTGTCACCCCAAAAATCAAAGCCTGAGCAAGGTGGAGGAGAATGAGTCAGAGTCACTCCCTAGCAGGGTCCAGATCCTGCTACTCTTGTGAGTATCTATAGACAGCCTTTGGTCAACTCATCCCCACATCAATCTCTCCAGGGGACCAGGGACAGATTTAGGGTTACATACACCCCAACACACACACACCAAGAGTCCGTGGTACCCCCTTGCACAAAACCCCTCAGGGGTCCAGTGACTGAGGCAGGGTGCCCCCCTTCGTCTCAGAGGACCAGGCCCTGAGTTAGGTTCCACACACTCACACCCCACCCCAGGGGACCAGGGCCTGAACTGGGGTTCCCCCCCCACACACACACACAGGGAGGCCAGAAGCTGAGCAAGGGTCACCCCTCCTCCACATACACAAACACCCTGGGGGACCAAGGGCTGAGTCAGGGGAACCAAGGGCTGAGTCAGGATCATTCCCCCACTTGGGTTGCCAACCCTCCAGGATTGGCCCGGAGTGTCCAGGAATTAAAGATTAATCTTGAATTAAAGATTGTATCATGTGATGAAATCTCCAGGAATCCATCCCACCAAAATTGACAACCCTCCCCAACACACACAAGGGGGGGGGGGGGTAAGTCAAGTCACCCCCACAGGGGAAGGAGCTGAGGCAGGGTCACTCCCCCACGCCGCCCCACGGCTCAGGGGCTGGGGCAGGGTCACGCCCCCAAGGGCTCAGGGGCAGGGGCACGCCCCGCCCCACACACACACACACACACACACGCCCCGGGCTCGGGGGCTGGGGCAGGCCCCGGGACTCGGCGGCGGGGTCGCTCTCTCACCCTGGCGGCCCGGGAGGAGTAGGGGTCCTCGAAGAGCGCCCACACCCGGGGCTGCAGCCGTCTCCAGCGCCCGCCCCCGCCGTCGGGGGGCCCGGCCGCCGCCCCCACGTCCTCGATGCCCAGCCTCTTGGCGGCCAGGTCGTCGTCGTCGCCGTCGAGCGGCGGCTCCCCGCTGATGAGGTCGGGGGTCTCGAAGATGTCGAGCGCCTCCTCGGCGTCGCGGTGCTGGCGGTAGGTCATCCAGCAGCAGGGCTCCACGTCGGTCTCGTCGATGCCCCAGAAGGCGAGCTCCTCCTCGAAGAGCGGCCCGCACACGTCGGCCGGGCAGTGCAGCTTGCCCGTGCGGTAGTAGTTGAGCACATAGGCGAAGACCCCCGGGTGCCGGTCGAAGAAGAACTCGCTGGGGCCGCCGCTGTTCCGGGGGCTGCCGCCGCTGCTGGCCTCCCGGCCGCCGCCCGGCACCCGCGGGGGCAGGGTGGGGGGAGGCGGTGGCGGGGGAGTGGGCGGGGGCGGCGGCGGCTCTTCCCCGCCCGAGGACTCGCTCTGGAACTCGCAGGCGAGCAGGGCCAGCCGGGTCCCCGGCAGGGTCTTCAGCGTGCTCCGGTAGGTCTCGTGCCGGGTGCCCCCCACGTTGAGGATCACCCTCTCGTTATCCTCGAGCTTTCCCATCTCTCTGGGTCAGACATGACTGGGGGGACAGACAGACAGACCCGTCAGCGTGAGACCAGTAGGGACTGGAGGAAAGATGGGAAATGGGAGGGGGGCTAGGGAGCCTGATTCTCTTGAAATCACTTTCTACCTCCTACCCCCTTACACGAAAATGCCCCACTGCAGCCCGCATCTTCCCTGCTCTTTACCCTCCTCCCATCTCCTGCGCCCGCCACCTAGATCGACCCTTCCCTCTCTTCCCCAACTTGCCACCTTTCCCTCCACCACTATGAGCCAGATCTCCAGAACTGCCTTTTCTAGCTTCCAAAATCTCCCTCCAATAGGACTGCCTTCCGCTGGCATCCCAGGGTCTCCACCTCCCACTATCCCTTCCTCGCTTTCCTACAATAGTAGCTGTCAGAGCTTCTCTTCGCACCAGCAGCTGGAAAGTTGGTTTGCAAACGACCCTGAAGCAAACCTCGTAGTCCTTTCGCTGTATCCTTGACGAATTCAAAGCACTGTCGCTCCCACACCCCCTTCTACAAACCAGTCTTTGCCTCCCCTGCTTTCAGATGGCTCCCCCCCCCCCCTTCAGTGATCTGGAGTCTTCCCCTGCACCTCTTCCTTCCCCCAATATATAGAGAGAACCCGAACAACCCTGCTTCTCCTTGATACGGACCAGTTACCTTCCCCACCCCTTTTTCTTCTCTGTTTCTGGGCTTCTTGGATCAAGCTCTCTGAATAAAAGCAAGCAGTTAAATTATTTGCTATTTGTCCATCTTTTATGGTATTAGGTGCTTAGAAGAGGAAGGTTTGGTCTCTAGGAGGAAAAACCAAACCTCGAAACAGCTCAGGCAGCAGACACACCCTCATAGGAGCTGTTAGCGTGTAGCTCTGGCTGCTACTTTCTCAAATCACTGACCTCCGCACGGATTTTACCTATACATTCATATTTAGGAAGACCAGACGGCATCACAGCCAGGCTGGCGTGGATTTTTCCCACGGTTTCCCCCCTACCCCCGGCTTCTCAAATACCTTAATGAGAAGAGAGAGAGCGGCTCCTCTTCATATACCAGACGCTGTTTTCTTCGCAGCTGTTGGCGGATCCTCCGCCGACCTGTGTGTGTATCTGTCAGGCGAGAACTACTTGTTGTTGTTCTCCCCATGTTCAGGTGGCTATTCCACCACCCTTGGTGCTGAACTGCGAAAGGAATAAAAGCAGCCCCGACCGCCGGTTAGTAGCTCTCGCTTCCCTCATTTTGCAAGATACATGCAACCTTTCAACATCGGAATGAAGAGTAACCATCACAGAGAGAAAGCAAAACCATGGATGGCTGGTCAGAGCACCTACGGGACTGGGTGCTGGCTGCTGTAATCCGAGCGGCTGCTTGGGGAGACTCTCTCATTTGAAGGTGAAAATGCAACTCAGGTTTGTCTATCAAGCGCAGCCCCGCCCCTAAGGAGGGTGGCGTGGGAGCTGTCCCTTCAGCACCACTCTCCAGCAAACTCCACCGCGCACCGCCCTCTCGGCGGGTGCGGGGCTGGGGGGAGACGGCAGCAAATACCAATGCCGCCTTTCGCCGAAAAAGGCAACACCGCCCCCGCTCCTGTGACACTTAATCGTTCCCTTAAGGACAGCAACAGGGAGGAAGCGGGGCTGGCAGTGGTTGTTTATCTGCAGGGGAAGCGGCACCAAGCTACAGGTGACAGCGGAGAGGAGTTCGCGGAGCCGCGGTACCCAGCAGGCACCACTGGCCTGTGCCAAGGGCCCCTGGCTCTCGGGCACCGAGCGCCAGCAGCCTGTCTCCATGGGCGGCAGGAAGCAGGCACATGGTGCGCAGTGGCGGCAGCAGGGCTGGATCAGTCCGCGTCGCTGGAAGCCCTCACAGATCAGCCCAAGCCTACACGTGCGGCTGTCGGAGCCCGCTGTCTCCGCTTCCCTTCAGGCGCACACGGCGGCGGCTGCATCTCTTCGGGCAGCCAGGAAAGGAGAGCCGCACCTTGTTTTCATGCGGCTGGTGAAGGGAGGATTTGGAGCAGGGAGCCTAGGGAGAGGCCCCACAAATCATCCCAGCAAAGTGATCACACCCTTGTTTTCAAGCATGCTGGGGGATGGTCAAGGGGCAGAGATACTTCAGCCCGCAGTAGAGGATTGTGAGAGAAGTCGCCTGTGAGGCCTCCTCAATAGAGGGTTTCCCTTCCACCTCAGCAGAGGCCTGGGGGTCCTCACCTGGGTACCCCATGAAAGCTCTACTGGAGTAGCAGTAGCTGAGACCCCACACATCCTTGCCAACAGCAGATACAACTACTTGACTGCAATTCCTGAAAGGCAAAATCTGTATTCTGTACATAGTTGTAAATCTAATGTGATGCTACTGGAAACTAGTTGTTGCAACCGAAAACAGAATTTAGCCCAATATGTTTTATACTTGCTCTTTTTTGGGTGGAGATTTACATTTTAGACCTTTCAAGAGGCATGGCTTCTTGAACACAGCATATGAAAACAGACCTGCATGTGCTAGAATATACAGACATGATCTCAAGTGCAGTGCAAAAAGCCTTTCTTGTTTGAAATGGTAAATAGAGATGGGAAAGACTGCATTAATCTGCTGGATGCAGCTTGCAGGTGTAATACATTTCTGCAGCTCCCGGCCCCCCTCCCTCATGGTGGGAAACTGAGCTGGGACCAACTGCTAGGGCACCAAGGCCGGAGCCAGGCATGGAGTCACAGGGCTTCTACTGATCAATGAGGATGTGTGCAATCTCATATGCAGGGTCTATTCATGAGGCAACCATCTCTCCAATAGAAACCAGAGACAGTATCCCACAAACTAAACTTTGGTGATTTCTAATCCTACAGTCCATTCCCATTGGCTTTGCTGCCAGATAGACATATTACCCTATTAAAAAAACAAACAAAACAAAAACAAACTGGTTTTATTGCTTGGGAAAAATAGAAAATATTTCAGAGTGGGAAAAGATCAGTCTGCATTATAATGTAAAGCTTTAGTCAAGTCTAAAAAAAAATTCCACAGTGCACTAGTTACTAAATATAATAAAATTAATTTCTTTTGGTATCATTCCTTGTACTTTTAGCAAGTGATAGATTTCACAACAAAATACAGAATAAAATCATAACAGAGATTTGATTTCAAAGCCCAGAAGGGAACACTTTAACAAAATAATGGAATAAATATAGCAATATTTTACCATCAGCTTCTTCCTGACTGGCAACACTATTTTTATCTTCCCCCCAAATGATCACATTTTACTTTCTTCTGTAGAATATGAAAGAGGCCTAATCCTGCATTTTTGTACCCTTAAAATTCCCATGGAAGTGGGAGGGTTTAAAGGAGTAGGCATACAACAGCTTCAAGTTTGGGACCAAAGTGATTCTTAATGTGACAGGTTTCAATTGGTCCACTGAACTGCTGGGGGCTGGTGGGGAGCTACTGCCTCACTGGCAGGCCTGGGTCACACCTTTCTGTCACTAGGGAATTAGGGGAGGGAGGTGCGCCGGCCAGAGTCAGTGGCGCATCCCTCAGGCAGGGGGAGCGCCGGCCAGAATCTGTAGCACTGTCGGGATTCTGCTACCCGAGGCGGGTTGGCTGGGGTAGGGGAATACAAGCCCACACAACTCCATTGCGTTCCAGCCCAGGGCCCTGACAGTGGCGGGAGGAGAGGGTCCCACCACTGGGTCAGTGGGGAGCCATCTGCACCACACTGACCAAATAGACCCACCACACTGTGCAGATCTGCCACTGGGCTACTTCCTACCCGGTCTCTCAAGCGGGTCCCTCTGGTCCCTCCAGCTCGTCAGGGTACTCAGCTGCTGGCAGCTCCAGCTCCCACTCTGCATCAGGCTCACGCTGGCCCAGGTTACTGCCTATCTCCTTGGCGGCTGGCACTCCTGGTAGTCCCAGTCCTTCTTTCAGGTCAGGTTTCTCCTGGTCCAGGGCCTCCCCTGGCTTGGCAGCAGGGTCTGAAGGGAACAGCCAGCAGTCTGTGTCTGTCTCCCTCCCTGGTGCTGCCCTGACTGGGATAAGGGCCCCACCCTTTGTACTTCCTTTTCCACCCCTCCCCTTCCGGGGGTTGGAGTAAGCTTGGTCTGGCCCTGCCCACTCAGACTGAGAGGGTGGCTCTTTACCCTCTGGTTCGGAGGGAAGCCACCCTGGCTCCCTACACTCAACAAAAATATAGTCAAAATAGAAAAATATTTCCACTCATACCAACAGCAACATGGATTCATTTTAAATATTCATTGGAAAGGTTTTTCTGTAGTTGAAGATTTGGAAATTCAGGATAGCTTGCAGGAACTGAATGAATCTCAGCAAAGTACAAAAAACCTCCCCTCAGGACAGATATTTTGAAAGGAAAGCAGATAGTGTATTATCAAACAGAAAGCTGACAAAGTCATAGAACTGTACTTGAGGAGATTCGCTTGCTGGAAATCGGAAGCCAAATGAGAGTTCCACTTAACAGAAAAGGATTCCTATTGCAAACTTAGGTATCATGATGCAGACTCAGTAGAACTACTAACTCTGAATCAATACAAGAAAGGGCAAACAGGAGAAAAGAAAAAAAGTATCCTTATCTGAAATTATGATCTATGGAAAGAAGAAAAGGTTTCACATGGAGGCACAAACCCTTATTTTTACTAAATTTTCTAATGCAAAGCAGCATTTGCCCAATTTCACAGATGCTATAGCAAAACAGGAAGAATGACAGAAAATACAGTAATAGTTGAAAATAGCATGATGTAATCAAAAATGTAATCTTAAATCAATTTAAACTAGGGTGAAATGGATACCACTAATTATTTTAAATACGAGTTTAATCATTGAGTTTCAATCAAGTTTTGAAATGTTTCTTCCTCTCCATAAGTCTCATGATCATTTCTGTGAAAATATATGTAAACTATATACAATTACAGCTTTTGATCTTTTACAGATTTTGCAGAATTCATTAGACCAATGAATCAATAAATCAATATTGTTATTATTGTAGACTGAGATTCACAACAATTAACATTGTATCAGAAGGTATTTTGAGTTAAACTTTAGGGCCAAAATCATTCCTTAGAGTGACTGATGTACTCTAAGTAGAGGAAGAATAAAATTAAGCAAATAGGTATAAAATTGCACTGCTAGGAGTCATAAAGTGATTTAATTGTGCAAAGTTAGAGGGGGAAAACAATAGGGAATTCTGATGATTAAATAAAAAATGTGGATATTTTTGGACTTTAAAAATAAGACAAATGCAAAATGTGCAAATTGCTCTACAATTCATGTAATCTGATTCTCCCCCCACCCCATTTAAATTTTTAATTCATTGTAAAATTTCTGTCAGTGAATTATGCAGAAACTCTTTTCACATTAAATTTTGACCAGAAAGATTAATACACACTTTTTCAGAAGGGAAATTCAAGAAGCAAAGGTAGAATGTTGTTAGAAGTAATGTGACACAGAAGAATGAATACAGAAACCCTCAGTCCTCATCCTGCTACTCACACTAACCTAACTAATCATCCAAAATACTCCACTACATGGGTTGTTAAACCTTACGTTTTGCATTTCCTGACTCTTTAAAAATTAATAGTGTTATGTAAAATTAATGCAGGTTTATGTATTTAAATTCTCATCTTTTCAGAAGAAAAAGATGTGCTGGGAGGTTGGGAGTGAGAAATGACATAGCTTCAGCAGTATGGTGTGTACAGTTTTGCTTTGCATAAACTCTGAAATGCAGCACTTACTTGCACAAAATCCCTGATTATTGAACTTTGATTCTTGAGCTGCACACTCGTATTTTTCCAGAACTCTACCAGTCAAATTCTAGCTCTCTGTTTCAGGATGCAGGCCCAGAGCAACCCCTGTCCCATTTTCCCTCTTGGTTCTCCAGTCAAGTCACCAAGAAAATTTAAATTATTACCCCTCTTGGGGACTGATTTATTAAGCCTTCACAAAATAAATACATACATCCTTTGGCCATTTCAGGCTCAAGCCATTCCTTTCTTTGGGGTTACCAATTACCCTTGATTTAGGGCTTCAGCTCTCTTGGCTCACCAGTTCCCTTTGAGTAGGGAGGGCTCAGTCCCACTCCAGATCTTGGGCGTTACTGAAAATATCTCCCTAAACTCTTTCCTAGCCTATGTTCCTGGGATCAAGCTCCTTCTGCTCTTACTAGACAGTCTCCACACCCCTCCTTAGAACTGTGCTTGAATCCTGGCAGGCTTCCCAGCCCACCATCCAGTTTCAACCACAGAGGAGCATCCCTCCAGGTCTCTCTCCAGGTTCTCTTTGACCAAGCTAAGAGCACTCCTGTATAAACCCCAACAGGTAGTCATATCATTCAGTCACCTGTCTCCTATTGCCAGCTTGGTCTGGTGATCCTTACCATAACTACCAGTCCCAGAATGCCTGTTCTTAAAGAGGCTATTCCTTGGAACAAACTAGCCTTTAAAGGGGACAGATCACCCTGTTATACCTTTTGACCCCCTCCCCCCTAAAAAAACCCTAATTTATGCTAACTAATGCTTCAAATACAGCATTGAATTGAACCGATGC